AGATGGGTTACTTCATAAGACAATTACATTCCCCCTCCAGTCCTTCCAAAGACACTACAGCAGTTAATAATTGGCAATTACCAACTACTATTCCAGTTCCCACCGTTCTAGATCAAAACCATATTGCCATGGCATTAAAGTAGTACTCGGTAATAAAGCAGCTTTTGTGCAAGGGGGTTTGAATCCTCAAGGGATTCGAGAGAGGTTGGCACAAATTACTATAGTCAAGAAACCTCCTAATCCTAAGGGGGGTACTGGAATTCGTAAACCTAAAACCAAATTCAAGTGGAAGCCTTCTTAAGTAGCTCTAACAGACTTTATTCTGATTGGGGAAGCAGTGAAGAATATTGCCGCTAGTCTTGATACTATCATCTCTAATACCCAATTTTCTTAAGAGGAGGATGGTGTTATTAGGGATCTCCAATCCGATCCTATTGAGGAATTTGAAGATTGCAGTGAGGAAGTGTTGGGTTCTAGTGATAGGGCTTAATCCTTTTCCTTTTTTAGCTATGTCTAGAGCTCTTTTTTGGAATTGCCAAGGGGCATCGAACAACCGTTTTCACCAAAATTTGAAGGATTGGATCAAGCTGTATTGTGTTAATTTCTTGGTTCTTCTTAAAATTAAGATTAGTGGAGTTCAAGCAAATAGAAGAATCACCAAGCTTGGGTTCTCTTTTCGCATAGAATGGAGGTAAGGGGTTATGAGCGACATCTGAGTTTTATGGAATTAGGATTGGAAAGTTCGTATTTTGGCTAATCACTTCCAGTTTATCCACCTAGAGGTGATTTATACCATGAATAAAACTTTACTCTCACAGTTGTCTATGAGAGTCCTAATCCCAGGTTGAGGAATCTTTTATGGGAGGCACTTCAAAATATTCGGAGTTCTGTTACAAGTCCTTGGTGTTTGGGAGGAAAATGAAAACTTTGGTGTCTTAACTTTACAATTTTTCTATTTTGGTATCTCACTAGAAAATTTTAACAATTAGTGTATTTACTTGTTAAAATGTTCAATTAAGTGGCTTTGACCGTTTTAGAATGTCGGAAAGCTGACTCAGCAATAGTGGGGCCCATTTTTTAATAGGTGGCATCTCATATATGATGAATGGATCCCTTTTTAATCCAACTCAGTGTAAGCATGTGCAAGGCATGTTATTTAAATGATAAAGCATTCCCATTTTAACCTCCATTTTTGCATCTGGGAAGAGACATTTTAATTCACTCATCTCCTCAAAAAATAGCAAAAGAGTTTTGCAGACCCAAATAAAAAACGTAAGCGACTTTGAAGGAGAAAGGAGAAGATGGAGCATCGTTACTGCAAATGCGACTCATGATGCCCAGTGAGGACATCACAGACGAACTTGAACCCTAGGAGGCGATTTGTGGCTTGTGAAACTCGTTTAGTGAGTTTATCTGGGTTTCTCATTGATTGTATTTGCAACTTTGATTTGTGTTAAAGTCTTGGTTCTATTATATCTACTCCCTCTCTAGGTGGATCATAAATGTGGCTGTAAGTTCTTTTAATGGGTTGGTCTCCAAATGTACAACAGATCAACAAGAATCATTCCTCGACTCTTAAAGACAAGAAATAAACTTGAAGATGAATTATAGAGAAGTTGAAGAAGAGAAAAGTTTTTTGTGGGTGTGGCTAGTTGTGCACTAATAATTATTGTATTTAAGTGACTGCAATTTTGTTGGTGTAGATATTTTTGGCTTAGAGGTTAGGATAGGATGGTTATGTGAGTTCTATTGGAAAAAGCTTCTATGGAAGCCTGTGACTTATGTTCAAGATGACATTGATGAAAAATATTAGTTGATTTTCCCTCAAATAGCTTTTATTTGCCTTAATGTGATTGGTATAGAAAATTTAATAACCAAACTAAATGAATTTAGATTGATGTCAATGCACATTATGGTACTACTAATTTTAAAGAAAAATGCAAGCACTTCATTGAAATTAAGAATGTGTCACCTGCCGCAAAATAAACACAGCAACACATATAGGTTTGCTGTTACAACCCAATTAACTGCAAACTGATCAAAAACTGAGATTTTAAAGCAATCTAAGTAATTTTCAGCAAAAGTTATACAAAAATATCTATACAAAAATATCAGTTGCACTAGCTAAACACAAATGGTAGATCCTATTTAACTACTTAGATCATTAAAATTGACAGATTCCTGTGTTGCCATCATAGTTGATCCATGCTCAGCATCTGCCTTAGTTTGTTTCCCTTTCATTGCTCTCTTTGATTTCCTTTGATGTTTGCTGCCAGCCATTGACTCTTGTGAAGCCTTCTTAGATTTCCTCCCACTTGCTTCATTAGTCACAACAACCTTTCTCTTAGCTTTAGTTTCCTATCAAAATCAACAATCACATATAATTAGTTATCTCTAATTAGCATAGAGGTGCAACATCATAATTAGGAGTTTAAGTAATTATTTACCTCCAAATGACCTCTTGTAATGTAATGGTTACCAAACTTTGTAAAGCCTTGAACTTTGTCAGTCATAAAAGTTGGCTTAGGTTCATTACCAACTCTTCTTTTTCCGTTTCCCTTTGCTCGATTTCCTTCCAAAGCCCTTTCTCCATTAGTCCTAGGTTACACACACATATTGCACAAGTTTTTTTTATTAGTAAACACAGATAAAAAATTTGAAAGCAACAAGAAACATATTGAAATGTTATTCATTAATCATTACATCCCCGGTTCTGAAATTAGTATAAACCCCAAACCCCACAATTGGTCTCCTAATTGGTTGTTTTTTCTTCTTTGATATGTACATATTATTGCGGTTAAATTGCAAGCCTTCATCATTGGTTACTCCTAAAACCTCTATTGAATCTTGCCTAAGTGCTTGCCAAACATTAAAAACAACTTTAATACACACTTGCAAAACAAATTACAAGTATAAAACAAACAAAACTGAATTTATACTTATCATTTACACCCGCATTGTTGCCTTGAGAAGGTATAGCTACATTGTCAATCTCAACTTCATTGATAGTCTCTTTTTCTTTGGCAATCTCTTTTTCTTTTGTTGATAAGAAAGATTAGGAGGAGTAATCTTGCAAGCAAGATTGTTAACTATATCTGCATACCATGGAGCTTGCATACCTACTAGAAGGAGAAGATGTTCATAGGGGGAATCTTCATTAATTTGTATCTCTTTAAGCCTTTCTTCCATCAACTTAAGCCTTGATAAGTGATTAGCCACAAGGTTTTCGGTTCCTTTCTTATCACGAATCTCAAAATCAAATTCCTGCAAAAGAAGAACCCAACGAATTAGTCTAGGCTTTGCATCCTTTTTCTTTAACAAATATCTAATAAATGAGTGATCAGTGTAAACTATTATTTTAGCTCTAATTAAATATGCTCTAAATTTATCAAAAGTAAAAATAATAGCAACAGGTTCATTTTCTATGGTGGCATAATTTAATTGTGCATTATTCAATATACGGATAGCATAATAAATGACATGTAACTTCTTTTCTTTTCTTTGCCCAAAAATAGCCCCTATAATATGATCACTAGCATCACACATGGGTTCAAAAGGTAGGCTCCAATCTGGTGTAGCAATAATAGAAGCTAAAATCAATTTCTTATTCAACCTATTAAAAGCAACTAAACACTCTTCATTAAAATCAAAAGGAACATCTTTAACCAACAAATTACAAAGAGGTTTTGTGATTTTCGAGAAATCAGAAAATAATAGCCACAAGCGATTCATTTTCTAGGTGGCCATAATTTAATTGTGCATTTATGTCAATATACGGATAAGCATAATAAATGACATGATAACTCTTTTCTTTTCCCTTTGCCCAAAAATAGCCCCTATATATGATCACTAGCATCACACATGGGTTTCCAAAGGTAGGCTCCCCCACATCTAGGGCGTGTCACGCCAATAATAGAAGCTAAATCAATTTCTTTTATTTCCAACCTATCAAAGCAAACTAAACACTCTTTCCATTAAAAATCAAAACAAGGAACATCTTTAACCAACAAATTACAAGAAGGTCAACCTATTAAAAGCAACTAAACACTCTTCATTAAAATCAAAAGGAACATCTTTAACCAACAAATTACAAAGAGGTTTTGTGATTTTCGAGAAATCTTTGATAAATCTCCTATAAAAATCGACATGATCAGGAAAACTTCTTATCCCCTTTACTGAATTTGGAGGTGGTAGCTTTTCGATTACCTCTATCTTGGCTTTGTTCACTTCATTTTCCTTCTTGGAGATTTTATGAGCTAGAACAATACCTTCACTACCCTTAAAGTGACATTTTTTCCAATTTGAAACAAGGTTAGTATTCTCGCAACGCTGCATCACTAGAGAGAGGTTATAGAGATAAGAATCAAAAGAAGAAACAAAAACAGAAAAGTCATCCATAAATGCTTCAATGAATTTTTCAACCATGTCAAAAAATATAGACATCATACACCTTTGAAAAGTCGCAGGTGCATTGCACAACCCGAAAGACATTCTCCTATAAGCAAAAGTACCATATGGGCAAGTGAAAGTAGTCTTCTCTTGATCCTCAAGAGCTATGGGTATTTGGAAGTACCTTGAGTAACCATCTAGGAAGCCATAATAAGGATAACCTGCAAGTCTCTCAAGCATTTGGTTAATAAAAGGCAAAGGGAAGTGATCTTTGCGTGTTGCTTTGTTCAACTTTCGATAATCAATACACACACGCCAACTTGTGATAGTTCTAGTAGGAATTAACTCGTTGTTCTTATTAGCAATAACTGTCATACCTCCTTTCTTTAGAACAACTTGACCAGGACTTACCCAACTACTATTCGAGATTAGATAGATAATGCCATTGTCCAACAGCTTAATGATTTCAGATTTGACTACTTCCTTCATATTTGAATTTAATCTCCTTTGGTGCTCAATTGTAGGCGCTCAATTGTAGGCTTGCAGTCTACTTCCATCAAAATTTTATGCATGCACACACTTGGATTGATCCCCTTTAAATCTAAAATCGACTACCCTAAAGCTTTCCTATGCTTGCCTAGAACCTGTAATAACCTTTTCTCTTGATCAAGTGATAATTTAGAAGAAATAATAACAAGATAAGAGTTGTTCTCACCTAAGAATGCATAATTTAAATAGGATGATAGTTGTTTCAGTTCTTGCTTGGGTGGTTCACTTTCTTTCTCACTTTTGATGTTTTCGATATCAATGTTTATATCACCTTTATCAGTGGTCAATTTTTCTTTAACATGCAAGGTGTCTTTTACGCAATCATTAATAACATCAATTCTAAAGCAATCATTATAATCCATAGGAAGCTTACAAGATTTAAGAACATCAAACACAAATTCCTCTTGACCTACCCTTAATGTTAGCTTACCTTCATACACATCAATCAAAGCTCTAGCGGTTGCAAGAAAAGGTTTACCAAGGATGAGTGATCCTTCTCTATCTTCATCTATGTCAAGGATAATAAAATCAACAGGAAAAATAAACTTACCTATGTTGATGAGCACATCTTCTACAATACCCCTTAGATATTTGATTGATCGATTTGCTAATTGTAGAGACATCCTTGTTGGTTTCAGTTCACCCATCCCTAGCATCTTGAAAACTTCATAAGACATAAGATTAATACTTACACCTAAATCAGCTAAAGCTTTTTCAAAATCAAGATTTTCAATATTACAAAAGATAGAAAAACTTCCTATATCTTTTAACTTTGGAGGCAATTTATTTTGAATGATTGCAAACTTTGGAGGCAATTTATTTTGAATGATTGCACTACACTCCTCTATTAACATTACCATTCCTTGATCGTTAATCTTCCTTTTCTTGCTTAGGATTTCCTTCAAGAACTTTGCATAACTAGGCATTTCAGCAAGAGCTTCAGGAAAATATATGTTTATTTGAAGCTTTTTAAGAACATCAAAGAAATTGAGGAAGCTTTTATCATTTGATTGCTTGAGCCTTTGAGGAAAAGGGATAGGTGGAACATATGGCTTGACTTCCTCTTTCTCTTCAAGATCAATGATGGGGATTTTCTTCTTTTCCTCTTCTTGCTTATCTACCTCCTTCCTAGATGGATCCTCCAATTGCTTCCCATTCTTTAAAGTAATGGCTTATACCTATTCTTTAGGATTTTTCTCAGTGTTGCTAGGTAATGTACCTTGAGGTCTAGAAGCCATCATATTACAGGTAATGTACCTTGAGGTCTAGAAGCCATCATATTACCAAACTATCCCATTTGAATCTCCAAATTCCTTATCGCAGCTTGTTGGACTTTATGATTCTCCTGTTGGATCCTATGATTTTCCCAAGTTTCATTCATGAAATCCATATGGGATTTGGAGAGGGCAGTGAGGAGGTCATCATGAGGCTTTTTCTCTTGGGGAGGAAAACCTGGTGGTGCATTCAAGACGTTGTTTGGATTCCCATAAGAAAGATTAGGACAATTCCTCAACCTGCTATCATAAGAGTTAGAATATAGGTAATTCTTCCTTCCTTAATTCATCATATAGTTGACTTGCTCCAAAGTTTGAGGATTTAGATTATCCAACACACATTCCCCAATTCCATGTTGTCCATTACACCTATCACATGCTTGCATAATAGAATTAACAGAGTTAGTGGTCAACAAATCCAATTTCCTTACCATATTGTTCACTTTGGCATTAAGTATGATGATGACATCAATCTTATAGACTCCTACTGGCTTCTTCCTTTCAGAGGTATTTTGATAATGGCTATGGCTTTCCATCTCTTCTATTAAATCATATGCCTCATCAATCCCCTTCCTTTCAAAAGATCCACCAGCAACTGCATCTAAAGTGATTTTTATATTAGGAGACAGTGCATTATAGAAAGTTTGTACCTGTAACCGCTTGGGTAAGTTATGATGTAGAACTTTCTCAATAGGTCTTTGAATCTCTCTCAAGGTTCATACAAACTCTCTTGATCATGGTAAGCAAAAGTCATTATCTCATTGCGAATCTTTGTGGTCTTTGAAGATGGATAGAATTTTGTCAAAAATTTTCGGCTTAGTTCTTCCCATGCGGTGAAACTTCTAACAGGACATGATTGCAACTAGGAATGTGCTTTATCTCTTAGAGTAAAAGGAAATAGTCTCAACCTTATTACAGCTTCAGAAACTCCGTTTTACTTGAATATATCACAAATCTCCAGGAAATTTGTGATGTGGGCATTAGGATCTTCACTAGGCAACCCTCTATATTGAATTGAGGTGGACAACATTAGGATAATCGCAGGCTTGATTTTAAAATTGTTAGCATCCACTCTTGGCCTGGTGATACTTGAAGTGGTCCCATTAAGAGAAGGAGTGGTATAATCTCACCAGGTGCAACAGGAGGTCGGGGCCTTTGATTTTGATTTTGATTATGTTGGTTGAGTTGATGTTGCAACATCTGGTGCTCCTCTTGATGAAATAGATCATCTATATTATCAGCCATGTCTGCTTGTTCACGCTCTCCCTCTCTTCTTACAGCATTATTCCTTTGGCAAGTCTTTTCGATTTCTGGATCAAAGATTAAAGGTTGAACTCCACAAGATCTTCTTCGCATAAAACACCTGAAATTCTTATAAAAGAAAAATTGAAATAATTGAAAATAAATGCTTAAATTAATAATAGGATAATTAGTATTGATATTGGTAATTCCAATCCTCGGCAACGGTGCCAAAAATTTGACAAGCTTTTTCACAAGTGTACGAAATGCAAACAAGTAATAAAGAGTGAGTAGAGTATCATCCCAGAAGATTGTATATCAAGTACCAAAATTGTGTTAATCTACTATTATTTAAGCGACAATAAGAATAATATAAGAATTTAAACTAAATGAAATAAAAGAGAATAAAAAGAAATCGAACAAGAATATTTGATGAAAAGAAATCAAGGATTAAAAGCTACTAGGGATTTTGACTTCACTTAATTCTATTCAATTTATTTTATTAGTTTGATAATAGGAATTTGACTTCACTTAACTCTATCCAATTTATTTTATTAATTTGATAATCAATTTTAATTGTTCAAGTAGGGGAAACAACCTAAAAATCACTAACAAGCTCTCCCGATGTATTCTAAGCTATTTTAACTCGGTTTAAATTACATAATCTTCCAATAACGCAATCAAAAACATGAATTAAAATCATTAAAGTTTTATGGTTATTTTTGAATTTATAAACCTAAGTCGTTTAACTTATGAAAAACCCCATGAGTCAAATTCATATAGATTCCGCATGAAGTTTATTATTCTCCATGTAATTTATTATCTTTTTCAATATAAACAACCCTTCTCCTGATAGTGATTAATGAATAAATCAAAATCCACGATGAAATCCTACCTTTAAACATTAAGTTCAATAATAAAATTAATACCTAGAACAAAGAAAACCAAAATCTAATATTATAAAATTAGAAATAGAAATAAGCTACAAGCATCAAATCCCTAGTATAGAATTTAGTTCGACATAGTAATTAATAAAACTCAATTAACTATAGAAATTAAGCTACATCAAATCCCTAGTATGAGAATTTAGTTCGACATAGTAATTAAATAAAACTCAATTAAACTTGATAATAATTCCATAATCACTATGAATAAGGAAAAAATAGAGACAAGAGTTAGAGTTTAGAGATAAAAACTAGTCAATGAATAATGTGGACGGCTTCCTTGATTCTTTATACAAACTTAAATGCTCGAAGTCTAAGATCTAAGATCCAAGATTCGACTCCACTAATTGTTGTAGAGATCTCTCTTTATATAGACTTCGTAGGGTGTCTTTAAATCCGAGTAGGAAAGTAGCTGGCCTAATTAGGAAAAATAATATTATTGGAGTAGGAAACTGATTTTGTGTTGTATTTCTTCTTAATTAGGAGTCTTCTTTGACCAAATAGGGCTGAAACTCAAACAAGGTTAGTCTTCTATTATTCCTATGTAGCTTCATGCACAAGTCATACCCAAGCTTCAAATCTATACGTGCTAAATAATTAAATCCAGGCCACTTGGAATTTTCAGCTTTTCTTGGTAACATGGCCGTGTACTTTACTGACTCGGCCATGTTGAGCTTTTAATTCTATTTTTCAGCTCCAATCTTCTTTTATGCAAATTTTAACTATTTTTCTTCTAAAAACCCTTCAAATCAAGCTTATCAAGGATCAAGGAAACTTAATTAAAAATATAAATAAATCTAAACAAAAATTAATCAAAGAAATTAAAAACGCTAAAAATCCTAATAAAAACTATGTTAAAAATACTATAAAATTAAGACATATCATAGCCAATTAAATTTTCAATGTCAACTTACTTTTCAATGTATCATGAACACTTACTTTCACACCCTCATATTAAAATAAAAATCAATAACAAAATATACGATTCAAATAGGTAACAATTCGATTAAAACCCGAAAATCAACCTAGCTAACAAAGGTAATCTTTCCTCATTCTTTTGGTTATAACTTTTCTCAAACATGGAATTTTAGTATAAAATTTATACTATTAAAAATTAGACAAAAATATCTTTTCAATGATATGCCTAAATATGGGTTGAAATGAGCCCCCAACCATAGGCACAAACTCACTGCACACAAAAAGAACTCAAATACTGAAGACTTTTCCTATGGTTTTTATGAATAATGGGTTAGCTCTGAACGTGTCCGCTTAAGGTTGCAAGCTACTTTGGGATCAAAGGCTTCAAGTTTCATACCCTCAGATCAGATTGTAAGGGCTTATGGTAACACTAAGAGAGAGATGTTAGGGATAGGCATAATGGATGTGATTATTGGACCTGAAAATTTTACCGAACTCTTTCAGGTTATTGAGATATCTTTATGCTTAATTTTTCAATTAACACTTCATACTTATCCTTTCATGTAAATGTGTTAAAGATATATGAACCTACATCTTATTACCATGCTAAAAATGATGTTAATTTGGTTAATGCCATGCAAAACTACCTTCAAGAAAGCTAATCAAACTTGGACATTCACTAATTTACCTAGTGATAAGAAAGCAATAAAGTGTAATTGGGTTTATAGAGTGAAATATTTACCAAATGGATAGGTAGATAGGTATGAGGTATGGCTTGTAGCAAATGGGTGTAACCAACTACTTGGTTTGGATTATACAAAAACATTCTCCCCTGTACTAATTTAGTTACAGTCAGATTGTTTCTAGCAATTGCTACTGCTAAAGGATGGATTGTGCATCAATTAGATGTTAATAATGCACATCTACATAGGTACCCAGATGAAGAGATATAAATGTATCATCTTGAAGGTTATACTGAAACAACGTGGGGACAAGTTTGTAAACCTCAAAAATCCATATATGGCTTGAAGCAAGAAGGGAGACAATGGAATAAGGAGTTTACCTCCAAACTTAAATCCTATGGTTTCACTTAGTCCTCACACAATTATTTCCTCTTTATAAAGCACATATGATCATAGTTTCTTCCCTTGTTAGTCTATATAAATGATGTGTTGAGAATAGAAGTTAAGGAATCTCTCATATTAAAAGTCAAGAGTTTCTTCCACAAATCCTTTACCATTAAAGATCTTGAGTATATAAAGTTTTTTCTTGGTATTGAGATTGCCAGGTCACTTACTGAGTGGTTTTAACTCAGACCATGTTTATCAAGGACCTCATTTTTATACTGATTAAATATTGCAACACCATCACTTATTCCTCTCATTTACGGTATTAAACTCACTCCTGAGTATGGGGCCTCCATTACCTAACCCTGGTTAGTACATGAAATTAGTGGGGAGACTGTTATATCTTAGCATGACTAGACCTAATATAACCTCTTCAGTCCAATAATTAAGTCAATTCATGCAAAAAGCACATGACTATCATCTAAAAGAGGCTTTGCATGTCTTGATATATCTTAGAGGTTGCTCTTCCAACGATTTAGTTTTCATAATGTCCAACTTGCTATCTTTTGTGACACTGATTGGCATCTTGTGTAACTTTAGAAATTTCATTTTCGGTGACTCTATATTCTTAAGTAATTCTCTAATTTCTTGAAAGTCCAAGAGCAAACTATGGTTAGTTCATCTTAAACAAAGACCGCATACACGAGTATGGCTTTGACCGTACGCCAGTTTGTGATGAATGACATATTTTGCAGGATTTTCAGACTTCTTCTCCTTTACATATTCCCTTGAATTGTAATAGTCAATTTGCACTCCACATAGCAGCTAATTCAGTCTTCCATGACCGCACCAAGCATATTGACATCGATTGTCATGGTGCCAGAAACCAATTGCTTTACAGGTTTTATTTTTTCCTCAACATGTTCTTGCAGACTTATATTCATAGAGTCCCTGCACTCTCCTTTTTATAGATCTTTTGTCCAAGATGGGGTTGGTAGATTTCTCCCAATACCATCTTGATAGGGTTGTGAAGTATATTTATGTAATTTACTTATTTTGCTAATTCGTCAAGTATTGAACAACTATAGATAGTTTGTTACCAAGAGTTACAGAAGTCAACTTAGACACTACTTTTTTTCCATGCAAATAGAAATAATTAAACTCTTGTATTTGATATGATTCTCATAATTGCATGTTCTCTGAGATTTTTCTCCATTGAATGTTTTTGTAAGCTTTACTCTTAATATGTTGAAGGGTATATAATTAACATAATTTAATTTAAAGTACACTATTAAAGATATAAAACATTATTTATTTAAATTGAATAAATTAAAGATATAAAATATTTCTTCTTTTTTTTTTTTCTTTTTTGTTTTAACTTACATGCAGAGATCATCAATTCAACCATGCCTTGTCATTTAAGGTATTTCTGAGTAAAATAGAAAAATAAATTTATTCATTTTATTCTTCCCTTCTTTCAAGAAATCGAGTTCAAATCATTTTAAAATTTATTTCAAATAATAAAATTCTATTATTAATTCAATTGAATTGAATTAATCATATAAATACAATCAACCTTTTAATTTGGTGATTTCCATTCTATAACTTCTTTAATCATCATTTAGGAAATGGTCAAATTTAATCCACCTAAATTGCAGAAATTCAAGAATTAGTATTTCATTCAAATGCAGCAATACATCTCTTAAAGGAAAGACGCGAAAAATGCTAAAAAAATTGACAGAATATAAATTAAGAATTGATCTTCTTCAAATCCCCATAAGCATCATAATGACCAGACTAAAGCCCATTGTTAGACTTGCTCGTAAGCTATCTCTATTAGCTGAAGACGGCGCAAGAGGAGGCAAAGAAACATTGGGAGAAGGAAATGATGTAGGAGATGATGATGGAGACACTTTTGGAAAGAGTTGTGGCTGTGATGGCGACAGAGCAGTTGTCTTTGGAGATGGGGAGGAAACGGGAGGGTCGGTGAACGGAGAAACCAGAGGTGGCGGTGATGTAGGTGAGGCGGTTGGTGGTGATGGAGTAGTAGTAGCAAGAACGTCTATCTCAACCTTCATTCCTTGGCTGCAATGGCCTGCTGTTCCGCAAATGAAGTGTCTCTTGCCAGGAGAAGAGAGAGGGATTAATGTATTGCTACCAGAATGTGTTTGAATTGGATTGCTGATCTGGCATGAGTCATAATCTGCTTTTGATACTTCAAATACATTGTGTGTGGGCCCATATTGGAAAACTGTAATTAAAAAAAAAAAAAATCAGATTAGATTATATCATGTTTTATATTTTTTTTAATTGAATTATCTTACTAACTAATAAAATACTATTAGTTTTAACTTATTTCTTTTATTAGAGTTATTTACTTTTAAACGTCTTAGCATTTATATTTTGTAAATATATATGTTTGTATTTTTTTTAATTTAAGCATGCAAATTAATAACTGTAATTTCTATCAACTATTAACTACTGTGATATCATCTTTATCAAATTAGACCATTTTGTTTTCGAGAAAATTAAATTGATATATTATAACTAAATTAATATTTTTATATTGGATAATCAAATTTAAAATTATAATAAAATTCAAAAATTACAAATTAAATAAAAAATTAAATTGACAACAATTCTTTCAATTTGATTACTAATCCCTTTGATAATAGGATTATATTTTTTATTTTTATTATAAATATTATTTTATTATTTTAAAATTAAAAGTTTAATATTTTATTATTTTATTGGCAATAGAAATAAATTGATGCTTAGTTGAAAAGTTTATATTCTGAGTTCGTCCAAAAGTTAATTTTGAATGAAATTTGATATTTTATAATAAAATTTCAAGAGTTAAATTAAGTATTTATTCTGATATCTAGACTTTTTTTATCATGCATTAATAATTTAATAGTCTGAGTACATATCTCATAAATTAAAAGTTTAGAAGTTCTAAATTATAACTTTTATCTCCTTCAAAGATTTCCAATATAATAAAAGTTTCAAGACCATTTTATAAAGAAAATAAAAATTGGCAAATGAAAAATTACTTTGAAAATCTTATTATTGGAGTAATAAACTAAGGCAATTAAAAACTTACTCAAATTATCTCCAACTAAAAAGGATTGAGAGGTAGCCCAAGTTTGCAAATCAGTGGTGGTATCCCACCCACCAATTGGGCCTCCAACTGTGTAATTTGCTGCCATTGCTAATTTGAGCACTATGCTCATAATAACACCCAACCTTATGATTGTTTTCATCATCTCCATCAACTTTTGTGCCTCTCAGATTTTGAATTAGTGAACAGAAAAGAGAAATTCTTCTTTGTGTTGAATATTTGGGTTCAATAGAAATTCCTTATATAGAGATGGGATGGGACTTAAGAATGAAATATTATAATTAGGTTATGGTGTACTTGTTGGAGTTGGTTTATTATAAAACAATGATTGTCAAAATAGGATAGGTTGTTTTGTTTTCTCATATCATGAAGTTGACTCTGTACATTCTTGTTTTTTTTTTTTTTTTTTTTTTTTTTTTTCTTAAGAATGAAAATATTATATTAGGTTATGGTGTACTTGTTTTGGAGTTGGTATTATTATAAAAAACAATTGATTGTCAATAAGGAATAAGGTTGTTTTGTTTTCCTCATATCAAAATGAATTGACTCTGTACATTCTTGTTTTTTTTTTTTTTTTTTTTTTTTTTCTTTTTTCAAAACTTTTTATTAAATCAAAATGTTTGTTTCTTTCATTAAAAGTCTTTTAATTTTATGCTAATCAGTGTGTGGTTTGAATAGTTTTTTTTATTTTTTGTTAAGATATAGAGAGTGAAGATCTCGAATTTGAGTCAATTCCAGATAAAAGGTTATCACCAATTTTGTGAATGTTATTCAAGGGTAGGGCTACTCCTGCTATATAGCGCACAATGTTATTCCAGTTCATTGGGCTCTTAATATATATATATATATATATAATATAAAAGTTTTAAATTCTTCTACGAACTACTTTAGGTAAGGATTAAGTAAAAAAAAGGGCATATATAAAAGTCTTTTAATTCTACGACTACATTTAGGTAGGATTAAGTAAAAAAAAAGGCAAAATCGATTGAAACAGAAGATTTCATTTAGTTTGAATTTAAAAAAAAAATTGATTTTAACTTTAATCTATATAAATAAACTAAACTAAAAATAAAATTTAAAAAGAAAAACTAAATATTACACTCCTAGCAAAAATGAAAAATGTAAACGTAAAGAACAGAAAGTCAAAATTTATTTATTTATTTTATGTTTTGAGAAAAGGTCAAAAAATATTTAATTGGACTATTGGAGTGGGTTTATGCCGTACCATTAAGGAGAGATGAGTTCCATTTCAGAGGTGTGCCGAATCCACGTGTACACAGCCTAACTACTATACGAAATAATAGAACACGGGAATATTTTGAAGCTGTCAAGGAATAGTTTGATCGAGAACTCATTGATATCATAACATACCTAATATATAAAAGAAATGCATTGGATTTTTGTAACAAAAAATTAATTTTGTTTTCACAAAAAAAGAAAAAACAAAAAATTAATTTAATTAATTTAATTAATAAAAGAAAGGTCAAATGTGAGTGGATGCACGTGCTCCTACATCGGTTTGCCACAGAACAAGTTGTCCCTTCCTCTTCATGCGAATGAGAGAGAACGACACTCTTTTACCATGCAATTCATGAGGATGAGTAAAAATAATATTAAATACAAGGCAATTAATACTAGTGGAGATATCATCCGGAGATAATAATATTAAATACAAGGCAATGCAATTGGTGATATGTTGTTGCTCTAATATTAATGCATTGAGTAAAAATATTGTCTAATTTTACATTTTAGTTTATGATAGGATATAAATATTCATGAGGGATCTAACCTAATTAGTATTTAAGACCTAATTATATTTTGTGGTGATTTCTTTTCGTCTCTCACTATCATTTTTCTTTATTTGGTTTAGTTTTCTTTCTAATAATTTTCAAATTTATGATCATTTAGAACAAAATTTGGATTTAGCCTCTCAAATCTGTAATAGTTGATAGATCTTGAGTATTTTTGGTATTATCTTAGTAGAGTTATTAATTTCTCTCCTTTCATGGAGTTGTTTCTTTTTATTGAGGAGTTTTTATGTGATCTTTTATTTCTTAGCTATACTAAACTCTTCTATTGGTGTCGGTTGTAATAAGTTCTCGAAAAAAAAAAATGTTCGAGACAATATTGTGCAAGGTTTCTTTTGTTGTTGTTTTCGCCGAAATCCCGAACCCCGAAAGGATTCTGAAAAACATCTTTTTATTTTGTATTATTTATTTGAATAAATGGTGACAAAACACTTTTTGGATATGCGATGTCGATAAATCGGTCTTATAAAACATTTGAGTCGCAGAAAAATCGGTCTTATAAAAACATTTGAGTTCCGCCACCCATTTATTTCGGCATGGGACCATTTTCAATTTTAATAAAAGTGACTTCATTTAACCCCAATTTTAAATTTAAGGCCGAATTATTTAGAGAAACTGGGTCCCAGGCGTACCAAGTACGATTCTAGGTTAAGGGAATTAGGTAACGTCGGCCCCGTTGGAAGCCGAACGCCAAGGAAAAACCGGCCCTCTTTTAACCTACAATTTTCCTAATTTTATTTTATTTTAGAAAAGCCAATTTATTTATTATTTAAACCCAACCCGAGTAAATCGAACCGAGTTCCTATGTGGAAATTAATAATCGTCCCAATCAAATCCTAATTAAATCCACATAGCAATTAATTCCCAAATTAAAAAGCACATTAAATCAAAAGCGATCAACCAAAATAAATAAAAAGGACCCTTGCTCTTGACTTATGGGTTAAGGCGGGGCAACAAACCCGAACCGAAAAATAATTAAATCAAATAAATAATGAACCCGCTCTTGCCTTAACGGTTCAAGGCGGGCAACAAACCGAACCTAAAAATACATTCTACCCGATTTAAATCCGAGACCCATAAAACCCAAAAACAATGCATATTTTATTTATTTAATACACTAGAAATCAAATTGTTAATAAACATGCAAATTAAATCTTAAATATTAAATAATCAAACAACTTAATTTATTTTTCCATTTAAACAAATAATAAATTGCAAAATTCATATAAATAAACACATAAAATTACATTTACATTTTAGTGTTCTAAGTTTATTTAAACTGTGATCTGTTCATAATTGGGCATTTTTAAATTTATTGAAGAAATTAGATTTTACTTTCGTATAAAGTTTATTATTTTTTTTTTATTTTTCTGGAAAAATCGATTTTTGTACATATTTTTCGTGGTTTTAGTAATTTAAGCTTCTTTAAATTGTATTTTGTTCATATTTGGCCATTTTATATATCCTTAAATTACATTTAAATATGAAATGATGTAAATAAACCGTTTGAAAACGAGCTTAGGCAAGAACAGCTGCGTCATGCAACTGTTCATCCAAGAACAGCTGGGTGACGCAAATGTTCATCCAAGAATAGTCGGGTGACGCAGTTGTTCATCCAAGAACAGCTGCGTCATGCAACTATTCATCAGGAACACCTGCGTCACGCAACTGTTCATCCAGGAACAGCTGGGTGACGCAACTGTTAGCTGTGTGACCCAACTGTTCTAAGCTTCCAGAGTTAATTTCTTCAATAATTTTGGTTTAAATAAAATGAATCATTTCTTATTTAAATATGATTTAAAGACATATAAAAGGGCCAAATATGAACAGAATACAATTTAAAGAAACTTAGATTACTAAAACCATAAAAATATATAAAAAATACAAAGAATGTTAAGGAAATTACCTAATCCTCACATTAATGCTTGCAAATGATCAAATGTCTTAATAAATGATAGTTAAGATCTCCCAGAAGCTTTGTATCCAAGGATTTAAATATGTTTTCTTTTATCTTTTGATTTTTTTTCTCTCTTTTTATGCTTTGATGCACCTAAAATTGATATCTAATGGCAATTTTACTTCAAATCAACTCACAAGACTATTTGGAGGAAAATGTGGCCGCAGAGAGTGTTTTTTTTTTAGGGTTTCAGAATTGTCTTGTTGTTCTGTGAAAATTGTGAGAAAGAGATGTATTTATAGGGTAGGTCAGGTTTTTTTTTGTTTTGTGTTTTTTGTTCTCTGTCAAAATTGTGAGAAAGAGAAATGTATTTATAGGTAGGTCAATGACAACAGCTGTGTCACGCCTACTATAGCTGCGTAAACGCTACTGTATGACTGTAGCTGCGCGTGACGCTAACTGTAGCTGCCGTCACGCTACTCATTTTGTTGAACATGATTGAACAGTGATGAATAGTGGATGAACATTAATGAACAGTTATGAATAGTGATGAACAGTGATGAACAGTTGCGTGACACAACTGTTCTTGGATGAAACAGTTGCGTGACGCAGCTGTTCTTGCGTGACGGCAGCTATGGATCCAGCCAACTAATTCAACATTATTTTTAATTTAAATCCCTTGATTAAAAAGACTTCAAAAGACTTCTAGATAGCATTAACCCATTCATTTTACATCCTCGTATCATCATTGGATCAGGCGGGGCATAAAAAACACGCGTCAACAGTTGTCCTATTTGAAAATGGATCAGTTTTTACTCGGAAAATTAAACTCTTCTAACAAGATCAAGAACATCTTCAAACAGAAGATTTCAATTTTCTTTTTTTTGTTTTGAGATAAGATTTCAATTTTCTATGCTTGTATTTACATTTGCTTACACTAATTAGGGGTGATCAGAATTTGGAAAAATCGAAAAACGAACTGAACCAATTAATTTCGGTTATTTGGTTCGGTTTTTCGGTTTATTGAATGGTCACAGTTTTTAATTGGAAATAATTTTGGATTTTTAATTTGGTTCGATTTTGGATGAAAAATTTGCAGTTAACCAAACCGAACCGCAAATTAAAATGCTTGTTTCAATTTACACAGCTAAAATATTAAACCTTGAGTTTTCCTTTTCCCTTCTCAATCCCTCTGGACCGTCTCCTCCTCGCTATTCAGATTTGCGCCGCACCAAACCTCTTTCATCTCTATTCTCAATTCTCATCACTGATCCTCTTTTCCAACTAAACTCATTTCAAGAAGCTGCTGTCAACTTTCTTCTGCTTTCTTTTCCTCTCATGTTTTCTTTTCTTTTTTTTTTTTTTTTAAATCGATTGGTTTGTTTTTTTTTTGCTTTTTCCTTTCATATTTTAATCGATTGGTTTGTTTTTTTTTTGCTTTTTCCTTTCAT